CAGTTTCCTGTGGTTAGCACACCCTGCTAATGCTAATGCTAACGCCCCGGTTTCCTGAAAGGGGCTCAAACTCATCAGTTCCCTGTGGTTAGCAGCCGTAACATTAGGACCCCCTGCTAATGATAATGCTAATGCTAACGCCCGGTTTCCTGAAAGGGGCTCAAACTCAACAGTTCCCTGTGGTTAGCAGCCATAACATTAGGACCCCCTGCTAATGCTAATGTTAATGCTAATGCCCCGGTTTCCTAAAAGGGGCTCAAACTCAACAGTTCCCTGTGGTTAGCACACCCAGCTAATGCCAATGCTAACGCCCCGGTTTCCTGAAAGGGGCTCAAACTCAACAGTTTCCTGTGGTTAGCAGCCATAACATTAGGACCCCCTGCTAATGCTAATGTTAATGCTAATGCCCCGGTTTCCTAAAAGGGGCTCAAACTCAACAGTTCCCTGTGGTTAGCACACCCAGCTAATGCCAATGCTAACGCCCCGGTTTCCTGAAAGGGGCTCAAACTCAACAGTTCCCTGTGGATAGCAGCCATAACATTAGGACCCCCTGCTAATGCTAATGCTAACGCTAATGCCCCGGTTTCCTGAAAGGGGCCCAAACTCAACAGTTTCCTGTGGTTAGCACACCCTGCTAATGCTAATGCTAACGCCCCGGTTTCCTGAAAGGGGCTCAAACTCATCAGTTCCCTGTGGTTAGCAGCTGTAACATTAGGACCCCCTGCTAATGCTAATGCTAACGCCCCGGTTCCTGAAAGGGGCTCAAATTCAACAGTTCCCTGTGGTTAGCAGCCATAACATTAGGACCCCCTGCTAATGTTAACGCTAATGATAACACCCCGGTGCTCTGGAAGGGGCCCAAACTTAGGGTCAGGGTTAGGGTCATTAATGTGGGCCACCATAACATCAGTAACAGGTCAGTTTGAAACCAAAGACACTAACCTGTCAAAATTCAGTTACATTTTGGGGTCTTTGTTTTTATCCTTGTGGTATCGAGTATCGAATATTTTCCTGAGTATCGGTATCCAGTTGAACCTTTTAGTATCGTTACAACCCTGACAAACGGCTGATGGAGGACCAATCAGAGGCTCCCAGGGGTGCCTGCTTCCCCCTGATTGGTCCCTGTCCCCCCCATACTGACAGATACCGGGGTCCTCCAGCTAAAGGACCCTGTTCAGAGTCCATTTCCTGGTTGCTAAAGGACCCTGAACAGAGTCCTGGTCCACTTCCTGGTTCTGTGGTTCTCACCGCGGCCAGCCTGCGGAACAGGAACTTGAACTGGTCGGCCTCTTTGATCATCCTCTCGGCGCCCTCCCGCCTCTCGTCCGCGTTCTTGAAGGTGATCCTCTTCTGCATGACGGCCTTCACGTACTCCACCACCACCCTGCGCAGCGCCTCGTTGGTCATCTCCTGGACAAAGAACAGACGCATTCAGAGGGTCTGAGAGAGGGTCTAAGGGTTCTCAGAGGGTCTAAGGGTCCTCAGAGGGTCCTCAGAGGGTCTAAGGGTTCTCAGAGGGTCTAAGGGTCCTCAGAGGGTCCTCAGAGGGTCTAAGGGTCCTCAGAGGGTCTGAGGGTTCTCAGAGGGTCTAAGGGTCCTCAGAGGGTCCTCAGAGGGTTCTCAGAGGGTCCTCAGAGGTTCCTCATAGGGTCTGATGGTTCTCAGAGGTTCCTCAGAGGGTCTAAGGGTCCTCAGAGGGTCTGAGGGTCCTCAGAGGTTCCTCATAAGGTCTTAGGGTCCTTAGAGGTTCCTCAGAGGGTCTAAGGGTCCTCAGAGGGTCTTAGGGTCCTCAGAGTGTCTGAGGGTCCTTAGAGGTTCCTCAGAGGGTCTTAGGGTCCTTAGTGGTTCCTCATAAGGTATAAGGGTCCTCAGAGGGTCCTCAGAGGTTCCCCAGAGGGTCTGATGGTTCTCGGAGGGTCCTCAGAGGTTCCTCAGAGGTTCCTCAGAGGGTCTAAGGGTCATCAGAGGGTCCTCAGAGGGTCTAAGGGTTCTCAGAGGGTCTAAGGGTCCTCAGAGTTTCCTCAGAGGTTCCTCAGAGGGTCTAAGGGTCCTCAGAGGGTCTGAGGGTCCTCAGAGGTTCCTCAGAGGGTCTGAGGTTCCCCAGAGGTTCCTCAGAGGTTCCTCAGAGGTTCCTCAGAGGTTCCTCAGAGGTTCCCCAGACCAGGTTCCCCTCCCCCACCTGGTTGAAGGGCTTCTTGATCTTGTTGAAGTCGTTGAAGTAGTCCTCCACGGTCACACAGATGGTGTCCACGGCGTGGGACGCCGCCAGCCACTTCCTGGTGAGCAGCTCGCTCAGGTGGTGCTGAAACAAGACCCAGTTAGGGGCCCGATAAGTCATATAAGGTCCTTATTCTGGATAAGAGCCGACTACAACTACCTAAACAGTTATTATATACTCTATAAAGCTGACTACTACTCCATAAACAGTTATTATATACAAATATAATATAAAAGCTGACTACAACTCCCTAAACAGTTATTATATACGTTATAAAGCTGACTACATCTCCCTAAACAGTTATTATATACTCTATAAAAGCTGATTACATCTCCATAAACAGTTATTATATACTCTATAAAGCTGACTACTACTCCCTAAACAGTTATTATATACTCTATAAAAGCTGACTAAAACTCCCTAAACAGTTATTAAATACTCTATAAAAGCTGATTACAACTCCCTAAACAGTTAATAAATACGTTATAAAAGCTGACTACATCTCCTTAAACAGTTATTATATACAAATATAAAAGCTGACTACATCTCCATAAACAGTTATTATATACACTATAAAAGCTGACTAAAACTCCCTAAAGAGTTATTATATATAATATAAAAATAAAAGCTGACTACATCTCCCTAAACAGTTATTATATACTCTATAAAAGCTGATTCAATCTCCCTAAACAGTTATTATATACTCTATAAATATATATATTTATATCTATATATATATATATTTTTATTTTTTTTCCTGATTCTGAAATTGATTGGATCTTCATTGTTTTGTCATTTTAAAGCTTTTCAGACTCTTTCAGAGGGGCCCTGCCCTCAGATGGGGGGGGCTAGGGTTAGGGCTGGGGCTCTAGGGTTAGAGCTAATGTTCTAGGCCTAGGGATCTAGGGTTAGGGCTAGGGCTAGGGCTAGGCCTAGGGCTAGGGTTAGGGCTAGGCCTAGGCCTAGGGCTCCCTACCTCCAGGTCCAGGAAGACCTCGTCCAGCAGGAACTGGCAGCCCTCCTTGTGTTAGTGCTAGGGCTCTAGGGTTAGGGCTCTAGGGTTAGGCCTTGTGCTCTAGGGTTAGGGCTAATGTTCTAGGCCTAGGGCTAGGGTTAGGGCTAGGCCTAGGGCTCCCTACCTCCAGGTCCAGGAAGACCTCGTCCAGCAGGAACTGGACGCCCTCCTTGTGTCAGGGCTCTAGGGTTAGGGCTTTAGGGCTGGGGCTCTAGGGTTAGAGCTAATGTT